ATTGAACGTGGGCCAGAGGCCGGGCCTGATCCTCACAACCATGGGAAAAAAGAGAGAGGAAGAAAAGAAAGGAGGAAGGGAAGAAAAAAGGGGAGAGAGGGAGGGAATGGAGGAAGGAGGGGAGGGGAGGGGAGGGAGCTGTTAGAATAAGCACCTCAAGAATTACAGCTGACAGATCCTAACAACTCCTCGCAGGACCTGGCTGGAGTTTGCCTTCACCTTTCCAAACACCCCCAAGAGGACAAAGGGTTGCTGGTGAGAGGCTGGAGGAGCTGACTTGTGTCTGAGCTGGTGGAGTCAGGGAAGGCATCCGCACCCAGGCCACTGGGTGTCACTCAGCCCCCAGGGAAAGGCCCTGCCCAGCACCTGCAAGGTCCACAGGAGCCATGGAGGAGGCAGGGCTGGGCCTGGTGCAGCCTCCGGCCCGCACCCCATGCCGGAAGACAACTGGGGGCTTTCTTGAGCCTGTCACCCGGGCACCATGTGCCAGGATTGTGGAAAGTGGGCAGGAATCCTGAGGGGCCCTGTGAGCTCCCACTGGGCTGGTGAGGGGGTGTGGTCTCCATCTAGTGGCAAATAGTGGCATTACAACCTGTCCCAGCCCAGGGGATGGTCCATGCTGGAGGTCAGTCACCCCAAGTCCACAAACATGGGCCCCAGTGGAGATTTTGATGGTGGGGTGGGTTGGCCAGGCAGAAGGGGGTGAGAGCAAGTGCCTTTGGGGTGCTGGCTCAGCCCACACTCTCTACAGGATCTCTTATCTGCAAAGTGGTGTTGTTAACAGCACACACACACACACACACACACAAACACACACACCAGACCAGTGTTGGGATTAAATGAGATACTTGTCCAAAGCCCTCAGCATACAGTTAAGAGCACAGGACAATACTCCAAAAAATCTCAGCTGCCACTTGTGCTGGGCACTCGGCCCTGCCCTGGCAGAGACACGGGAAAGCCAGCCTTTCCCCTAGGGCCTCACTGGGCCCCACCCACCCTCTTCTGACTCCCCTGGGTGCCTGGGGCCCAAGCTGCAGGACGCTCAATTGAGGGGCAGCCTGCCTGGGCCTGGGACCGGGGAGGACTAGGTGTGCCCCACCGGCTCCTTCCCCACCCTTGCAGACTGGTCCCATCCTGTAAACAGAACAGCTTTAAACAGACAGCTGGGCTGGGCTGGTGGCTCACACCTGTCATCCTAGCTACTCAGGAGGCTGAGATCTGAGGAGCACAGTTCAAAGCCAGCCCCATCAGGAATTAGCCCGAAAAAAGCCACACATGGAGCTGTGGTTCCAGTGATAGAGTGCCAGCCTTGAGCAAAAAAGCTTTGGGGCAGTGCCCAGGTTCTGAGTTAAAGCCCCAGGACCTGGTTTTTGTTTTAAAGAATAAAATCAGACATGTGACATCTGGGTTCTCTACTTGGGCTCATGGAAGAGGTGGCTGAGAGTTTAGGTGCCCTGGTCACCCTAGTGTCACTGTATAAGCTTATGACCTCAGCCTGTGGCTGGGAAAATCCAGTTTAGTCACAAGCCAGAGCAAAGGAGAAGCAGGGTCTGTTTGCAGAAGAAACAAAGAAGTCTAATGGCACCTACCCCTGTAGGAATAACTAGCAGCACAGCATGGCACAAGGGCAGATGCCTGGTCAGGGACCCTATGAGGGGTCAGGCCTCCAGCAAAGGCCCTGCTTCCCGGTGCCCATCAGTGCCCCCAGGGGGTAGGCCCTTCCCCTCTGCTTTCCAGGGACATGGAGCTCTTCCAGCCATCAGCTCTGGTCTTCCTGCCACTGGCCCTTTGCATGTGCTGTCTTGGCTGTCTCTCTTCCCCTTCTTGTCCATCTGCTGAAATCTCCACCCTGGTTTCATCTCCCCTTGACTGCTTGACCTCTCCATACACTAAGTCCACCCGCTGCCCACTAGCTGCCTCTCTTCTCCAGACCTGCCACCCTTACCATCAGACGGCACTTGGGGTCACGTCTGACCTATGCCTGTTTTTCTAAGACATTGCAAACTCTAGGATGATTGTACTCTCAGCAACAAGCTCAGGGCCTGACTGCCTAGAAGTTTCTGAGCCCCAAGCAGGGAGGTGTGTGGCTTCCGTTAGTTCTGCTGTACCCCTGGGTGGAGCCCACAGGCCAGCCTGCCACCCTTCCCCCTCCCCCCTACTAGGGGGCCCAGGACCCACGCTGTCCTCTGTCCCAGAGGCTGTTGGGAGAACAAATTGAAAACACAGGAAAAAGAGGGGGAAAAGAAGCCCTTGGCAGCTGTGCAGCAGAGTTTATTGTGACAGTGTTAGAGCTCACTCTTGGGGGGACATTGGGGCTGTGGCCCTGAGTCTTAGTGCCATTCACAGATAACGCGACTCCCTGAGAGCCACGGCACCCACTCCTGGTGGGGCCCAGGGTCGTCTTCCCCGGCTGACTTGGGGTAGAGAGAGATCTGGAAATCCACAGCTCCAGGGAGGTGCCGCAGGGTGCGTGGGCCTGGGCTGGACGCAGCCTGGGGGTTCCTGAAATGACCCAAGGGGCCATGGCTTCCATCCTGCTTTGCTCCGAGGCCCCTCCAGGCCAGCCAGGCTGTGCAGAGAGAGACCCTCCCCCCCCCCCCCCCCCCCCCGCTCCAGGTCCCTCCTGCAGCCCAGGGCCGTGCAGATGAACGGAGGACTCTTGGAGGGGTCTGCCCAGCCCTGGCTCCAGGGGCTTCCCCAGGAGACAGGAAGCCGAGTCCCTAGGAGGGGCCCTCCTGCCCGACCTGCCAGCCTTCATATTCTGGGAGGAATATGGGGTATCTCCCCCTTCCCTGATTCACCCCAAGCCTGGTGCAGGGTCAGCACCGGGTAGCAGCCTCTGGAGCGGCTGGCGGGGCCTGGTGCCTCAGCTGGCCTCCCAGCTCCCTGGTCTGCGGGTGCCCTTGCCGGCCTCTGCCGCGGCCCCTTTAGCCAATTGGGAACTGGAGCTGCTGCTTATGACATCCCAGGGACAGAGCTGCCCTCATGGACCAGGTGGCGGCTGCTTTGCCCTCCATGCCCCCCATCTTGTGGTGACACAGGCACCTGGTGGCGGCGGCTGTGGACCTGGCGTGTGCAGGTGATGGGGCGCCCTGTGGGCATCGTGGGACCCCTGAGTGCACGCCGGGGGGCTGTGGACCCCCAGCCCGCTGGCTTACGACTGCTAGACACGTTTGGGGCTCTGCTGTCTGTGCCAGTGACCCCCTCACCCCCACAATTGTCCTCTTGTGCCCTCCCCCCTTGCCCAGGATGATGCACTATTCTGACAGTTCAGGTGTGTGTGAGGTTCCAGTCCGCAGCTCAGCATTCAGGCTCCTCTCGGCCCCTCCCCACCCCCCGGCTTGTCCTGCAGGAGTCGGCCTGGACACAGCTGGCATGATGGCTGGCACCAGGGCAGAGGGAAACTCTCTCTTCTCTGAGTGGACAGGTGGGGTAGCTGAGTGACGTAAGGATCTGGGCTTTGGACCCTCCCCAGAGCCGAGTCACATGGAGAAGCGTGCCACTCGGAGGCCGGTCAGCAGAAGCCAGGCCGGGGTGTGGGCAGCGAGGAAGGCTGTGTTTATGTGAAGGTCAGCAGGAAGCCATAGTTCTGGGGTGGGGACAGGCACGTGTCAAGTTCCTTGTGGCCCCGTGGAGCACTTCCCACGAGGGACAGCCCTTGGTGCGGTGAGAAACGCAGCTCTTCAAGGCCGGGCTGGCATCTACTGCCACTGTTAAATGTTTATTGGTGTTGTTTTGTGCTTGAACTCAGGGCCTGGACGCTGCTCCAAGCTTTGTGTGTGCTCAAGGCTGGTGCTCTACCATTAGAGCCACAGTTCCACGTCCAGCTTTTTGGTGGCTCACTGGAGATAAGAGTCTCATGGACTTTCCTACCTGAGGTGACTGTGAACCACGATCCTCAGATCTCAGCCTCCTGAGCAGCTGGGATGACAGGCGTGAGCCACCAGCACCCAGCTTAACTTCAGCCATGGAAACCTCTTGTGGTCTCCAAGGCCGTGAAGCAGCCTGGCTCCAGGGACTGGCAAGTGAGGACAGAAGGATGGCTGGATGGACGGACAGATGGATGGACAGGTGGGGAGCCCGCAGAGCCCACACCCCACCACCACCCCTCCACAGAGACTTCCTGTCCTCTCTCCAGGCGTGCAGATGACTGGCACCTCACACGTCCCTCTTTCTTCTCTCAGGGTTGGAGACAGCAGCCCCGGGGCCGGTCTGCGCCGCTGTGGACGGGAAGTTAGACTCACGCCGCCGAGGTCCCCACCAGGTTCAAGGCATGTGTGTCATGGATGTTAGCGTTTAGCATGGGTTCAGCTCATCCCCCTCCATGCTGCAGGGGGCCCCCCCGCTGGAGTAGGGCAGCTGAGGCATTGGAGGCAGATTGGTGAGGCCGCAGAGACAAAGTCACACAGCAAAGGGTGGCGGGTGGAGACAGGGGCCGGAGGTTCCCTCCCCTGCCACCTGCACTGGTGACGAGGGACCGTGGGTGAACAGTGATACGTCTTCTCTCCATCCCCGTGTGGAGGATGCTCCATTCCTGGCTCCTGTTGCCTGGTGACAGGATGTCTGTGCACTCTGGGATGGACTTCACCTGGACCCCATCCCACGGGGACCCCACGGCTGGGTGGGGGTCAGGGAACTCGGAACGACCGGTCCTCCGTGGTCAGACTCCCCAGACAGAGCCCGTGACCCCGAAGATAAGTGGCCAGTCGAAGGCCCCAGGACTCAGCGCCCTGGACGTGTGATGGTCCCCCTGCCCCTCTCTGGAGGGTGTTTTGGGGACCGAGGCCTCTAGCTCCGGCCTGCTCTTGTGGCCGCGGGCATGCTGGATTGCGAGGGGATGGGGCGCAGTCGCTAGTCCTTGAGTCTCGCAGGACGGGACGCTGGCAGTCACGAGCAGAGGTGGGCTGGGGGGGGGGATTGCTGTCCTCAGCACCCGCTGGCCCTCGCCCCATCCCTCGGGGCTCACGGGGGGCAGATGTGCCCTCAGCCCCAAGGTCGGTGTGGGTTTGGGACAGCACGGGGCCGTCGGGGTTGGGCTGCGGCCGCAGGCCCCTCACACATTGGTGGCCTCCAGGGGGCCGTGGCTGTCCAGGCGGCTCTGCTCCCGCCCGCTCTGGAGCTCATCCTCCCCACAGTCTTCGTTCTGAAGCGAGCCGTAGTCGTCATGGAAATCGGGGTCTTTGAACCCCCTTCCTATCTTCCCCAGGGGCAGCTGAGAAGACAGGAGTGAGGTCAAGGGTCAGGAGGGAGTGGATCAGGAAATGAGCGCCTGAGACCCGGGAAAGGGGGCCTCGTCCATCCAGTTGCTGTGCGACCTTTGAGGACTTAACCTCTCTGTGCTCCTCCCATTAGGAACCCAGCACTTTACTCATTCCTCCAGAAGACAGAAGGGATTTTTGTGAATTATCCTGAGGAGAGAGGTTTGTGCTCCCAACAGGAAGGATTCAGGGGGCAGCTGAGGGTGACGACCAATGTTGGCCATGCTGGTCCCTCACATCTCTTCCCTCCCTCCCCCCTCCTTGGTGGGAGGTGCTCGGGGAAATCGCTGTGAGCCTAGGAGTGGTCTGCCTGTGATCCCAATCCCAAAGGAATATTCTAGCACTGTCTGGAAAAGAACAGAAGTTTGGGAGACTCACAGGCTGGGCTCTTCAGCTCTGCTGCTCTGAGCTGTGAGGCCTTGGGTAAGTCACCTCTCCCCTCTGTGCCAGGTGCCAGTGGCTCATACCTGTCACCCTAGCTACTCAGGAGGCTGAGATCTGAGGATCATGGTTCAAAGCCAACCTAGGCAGGAAAGCCTGTGAGACTCTTATCTCCAATGAACCACCAAAAAGCTGGAAGTGACGCTGTGGCTCAAGTGGTGGAGCGCTATCTAGCCTTGAGCATAGAAGCTCCGGGAGGAGGCCCAGGCCCTGAGTTCAAGTCCCAGCACAAAGCGAAGAGGGGAGAGGGAAATAACAGCAATCTTGCTGGGTAGCTCATGCCAGCCTGTAAGCCCAGTTACCCAGGAGAAGTGAAGCCCCCATGGGGAGCATGTCGGGTGGGAAGAGGAAGTGACTGCTCAATCCCCGCCCTCTCCGTGCTGGAACCAATGGTGAGTCACCAGAGCCAGGCCCAATCTGTCATCTGCCTGAGCTGCTTCTCTCTCAGGGTCAGACAGGCCACGCCCGAGGCCACACCCCAGCCGGGTGGCTTCCTGAGGGTCACCAGGAGGGTATGGCCTCATCTCAAAATCGGAGTCAGTGGCTTTCAGGGTTTGGGGTTCCTAGGATGCATCCAGGAATCAGGCTGTACACAAGTTCTCTCCAGCCCCAAGACCACCAGCTTTGGGAAGTGGGTGGGAACCCTTCCCCTGCTTGCACCCTGTACCCCAGGATTCCCCTACAGATCTGCAGCTCCAAACCCTGCACAGCCTTGGTCACTGAGCCTGACCTGGCCTGGGTCTCTCCAGCATGCACCGTGGGAGGACCAGCTTCTCCTCCCCAGGTGACAAAGGGATTGGGGAGAGGCTGGGACAGGACACCTGGTCCCTGGGGGAGAAAGGTGTTTCCCAGGTCTGCTTACCCGGCCAGCCCTGTACTTGATGCCTCCATTCTCTTCCTTCCCGGCCCGGGTGACACTGGAGGCCCGGCCAGGGGGGGTCCCAAACCGCTCAGCGTCCCGGAGGCCTGTGGAGCTGGGACACAGCAGGGAGAGTCACCGACAGCTGCCCAGAGCTGCGCCCACCAACACACCTACGGTGGAGACCGGCTGGGCTGCTCCCGGCTCAGTGCTCTGTGATTGAAACCCTCATTCTGCATGGCACAGGGCACGGCCAGCCCCGCTCACAAGTGAAGGAGACACAGAGGTGAAGCAATCAATGTACCCCAGGTCACCCTCATGTTTGAGGTCTGCAAGTCTTGCTCATAACTCTTCTATGAGCTGTAAACCTTGCAGGAAAGGGAAGGCAATAGAACCCCAACGTCTGGAGAAATCAGATGTGCTATGAGGAACAGCATTGGAGCTCCGTGCCAACCCTCCCCCACCCCCACGAGGAAGCTTTTGTTACAATAGATTTAGCAGACTGAGTGAAGCCTGAGGCCCAGTACAGCTGATTTTCTGATTTTGTAAATAAAGTTTTATTGTTCCCAGGACTGTGCCCCTCTGGTGACATCCCCTGCTTTCTTGGTTGTTTCTTGGCTTTTTCTTTTTTTAACTCAAGGCTGGTAGTCTACCACTTGAGCCATTACTCCATTTCTGGCTTTTTACTTGTTAACTGGATATAAGAGTGTCATGAGGACCATGGTCCTCAGGACTCAGCTTCTTAGCTAGGATCACAGGTGTGAGCCATTGGTACCCGGCACTGTCTATTCTAACAGAAGTTTGCCAGTCCTTGTGTCAGCACAGCCAGACTGGAGGTAAAGCAGCTCAGGCTCTGTGTGGATGACCAAGGCAGACCCTGGTCAGGACCCAGGTGTCCCCAGCAGTGGCCATTTCTCCTACCCTCCCCCCCCCAAACCCTGCACCTTTTCTCTCCCTTTTTCTTCTTGATTTTAGGTCAACCATAAAATCCCACTGAGCTCCAGTTGTTTTTCTCTGACTGCACTGCTGGTGGCCCAGAACCTTTTCTACCTCCATGGACCTGAGAGTATCCAACTTGTTTCCATCTGGAAGCCAGGCCACAGCAAAGCCCTCGGTCTATGGTTCCCTGACTGTGACCTTGAGAAGGTCACTTCTCTCCTATAAAGCATGTCTACCCATGCTGACAATGGGGATGAGAACAGAGCCACCTGTGAAGCAATGGAGTTCATCTAAAAGTGGACTAGGAGCCCACTTCCAAGGGCTTACGCCTGTAATCCCAGCCACTCAGGAGGCTACCTAGTGAGACCTTATCTCTAAAACCAAAACTCCAAAACCCAAGCCAAAAAAAAAAAACCCACCAAAATGTACATGTTGATATCCTTTGTAAATATAAATGCATGTAAAAGTCCTCCACAGAAGGCAAGCAAACCAAGTTCAGCAAAAGGAAAATCCTTATTCACTGGTAGGACCCAGCGAGATTTTATACCAGAATGCAAGTTTGGTTCGGTTTGGCATATGGGAAAAAAAAATCAGTCAGTGGAATTTGCCCTGTTAATGAAAGGCACACCTGGCTGCTACCACTGGTGACCTGCAGTGTGGCCCCGGAGGAGAAATCTCTTCTCCTGGAAGGAGAGAAGAACTGCTGTCTCGGCTCCTCACCAGGGTAAAATGTGGCCCTGGCCAGATCACAGGCCACAGGCATCTCACCCCAGGTATGTCAGGGTACTGAGAGTTCCCTGGGTGTGTTCACAGCGGGTGTCTGGTGTGCACTCACCTGACCGGGTGGAAGATGATGCTCATCTCCTCCGCTAAGTGTCTCCGGAGGATGTGCTTCCCACTGGGGATGCCCAGGGCTGTGGCCATGGCCTCTGCATTGAATGTGGGCTCCAGCACCAGCACAGCACCATGGACGCCGCTGTTGGTCAGGTTGTCGGCGTACTCCTGAGGGCAGAGGCAGCAGGCTGGGTGGCCCCAGGGGCCGCCAGACCCAAGCAGGGACCTGTCCCCAACAGCAAGGATTGCCCTCCTGGGGACCAGCTGATGAAGAATGGAGGGGAACCCCTCCCCAACTCTCAGAGCCTCGACAGCAGCAGCCTCAGGGCCCCTGCGTAGCTTGGAGCCTGGCAGGAAGCCATACGTGTTTGGGAACAGCAGTGCATCTGGATCCTGACCCCATACCTGCTGCGAAGGGTGAGACTGGCTGTGTCCCCCAGTGACAAGGGTCAGGACAGAGCTCACCTGTGTGTGTGTGTGGGGGAATCCCTCCTTCAGGGACGAGAGGGTGTCCTGACAAGACTGGGTTCCAGACACCATTTTGTTCCAAAATGGACACTGATCTGCATGCAACCTTGCATGAGCTTTGCATGTGCATGAGTGGCCCCTACATGCTGCCCCCCCTACACTGTGTCCACTTATACCATGTCTCCTACACCCTGTCCCCTCTACCATGCCCCCCTGCACCATATCCCCTACATTGTGTCCCCTACTGTGAGTCCCCTCCCTCACCTTCAGGTCAATGTCTCGCACCCACTTTAGCACACGCTGATTGGTCCACACCACAGGGTCTGTGTTCTGTGTCTCACAGCGGGCCCGGCGCTCCTGGAGGGTCTGGAGGGAGACAAAGGGATGTTGGGGTTCAGAGGACATTGGGGTCACATGTGGAGGGAGAGCCCACACCCTGGTGGGGGCCTCTGTGCACTTGTATGAGCAGAGCCATCCACAGCTGCTCCAGCCTCTTGTTCTGGAGCTGAAGCTCCCTGCTGGGAAGTGGAGAGATGCCACTTTATGGGGTGTGGGGAGCCAGGAATGTGGGGTTGGAAGGACTCTAGCACGGCTTCTCCTTCCTGCCTTGTCCCAGATCGTCTGGCCCGGAGGAAGTGCTCAGGGAATGTTTATGGAGACACTTTCCATGGGGGCCAGCAGAGCCTCTGGTGGGGAAAGTGGTCTAGGTACCAAGCCCTGCCCTTCCACCCTCTGGGCCCAGCCTCGGACTAGCCTGCTGCCCTCTCCCAGGGGCCCCCAACCTGCAGGCCCCGCCTCCATTTCCTGTGTAGCACTACCCTGGCTTTCCATGTCATAGGGGGCTCCAGGAGGCCAGGACCAGTGTCCTGTCCCCTCCCTGTGTCCACAGCTGTGTGGTGTGAGAGAGAATATGAATTGAAAGCTCCTCTCTGTGGCTCTCTCCTGAACTGCTGTGTTCTGACATTAGTCCAGGAAAAGCCAGCAGTCTGGACGTGGCACCCAGGGACTGGCCTCACCCTCACCCGGCGTCCCCCACCTCCAGCTTGGCATAGGGCAGTCTAGGGACCCTTAGCGTCCAGACCCCATCACTGCCAGGCCCCTGGTTAGCACGGACCCCGTACCCAGCACCCACTCAGCCAGGACTTGTCTGTAGCACCTGTGGCCTGCAAGTGCTCTGTCAGCTCTGAGTCTCACTTCTGCCACTATCCATCTGGAAACTTCTCTCCCTCACAAAGCTACCTGCCTAAGACAGCCTCCCCAAGCATCGTGACCTCATGTGGCTCCTTTGTGGCCCGATGAGAGGTCCCCAAGTCTGAATCGAACACAGGCTCTGCCCCGGCCAAATAAAGTTGTTTTAAGAAAGGAGGGAGAAAGGGAGGGGTGGGTGGCTGGCTGGCTGATCAATGGATGGAGTAGTAGACAATTAGGGGATGGATAAATGGATGGATGAATGAGTAGGTAGATGGATAGGTATATGGATAGGTTGGTTGAGTGAAGGGCTCAATGGACCGATGGGGGAATCAAGTGGATGAATGGGATGATGCATGTATGGGTAGACAGATAGATAGATGGGTAAGGGAGATATGCATGAGTAGATAGTTGAATGGATTTATCAACCCATGGATGGTAAGTGGACATGTGGGTAGATAATCCATGAATGGGTATATGGATGGGAGGCTAATGGGTAGATGAGTGGATAGATAAATGGATGGGTATGTGGGAAAGGTAGATGGGAGGATGGATGGGGTGGATGGTTGGGTGAATTCATGGGTAGATGGATATGATGGATAGATAGGTAAGTGGATGGATGGGCAGATGGGTGGATGAGTGGATGAATGAGTGGATGGGCATATGGGTAGATGAATGGATGGGTGGATACATGGGTAAATATTTAGATGAGTGGATGGATGATAGATGGGTGGATGAGAACACGGATGAATGGATGAGTATATGTGCAGTTGGATGGATGAGTGGATGGACATATGGGAAGATGGATGGTGGGTGGACAGATGAGTGGGTGCATGGGTAAATGTGTAGATGAGTGGATGGATAGATGTATGTATGTATGTATGTATGTATGGGCAGTGGATGCCAGAGGGGAGAGGGGCCGGGGGAGAGCCCCACCCCACCCCGCCACGCCCAGGCCCTCACCTCTCTGCTGAAGTTCACTTGGTAGAGCAGCTCGATCCCTAGCAGGATGCTGACCTGGTGGAACTTCTTTGACACGTTCAGGTGCTTCTCCAGATCCCGCTTCATCAGGGAGTTCAGCATCCGCCCGTCCACCAGGTGGTTCTGGAAAGCCTGGGAGTACTGTGAGAGGCCGATGTCATTGAGCCAGGCCTTCGCCACCCAGTGATGGTCCAGGTCAGCAGCCTTGGACAGACTGGTGAGAGAGAGTCAGAGACAGGCATGGGTGAGGGAAGGCGGCAGGGCACAGAGGACAGGCAGGAATGAGAAGAGGTGGCCAGAGCTGAGGAAAGGGGTAAAGAATGGGTGTGTTGGGGGGGGGTGAAAGCCAAGAAAGACACAGACAAGCAGGGGGAGGGCTGGAGTGGAGACAGGAAGTTAGAAAGAGATGCGAGGATCAGCGATGGGGAAAGAGGAAGAAAGGCAGACGGTAGAAGGGGACCACCATATTCAAGCACACAGCCAGAGCAAGCAGAAGGCGCTCAGGCAGTAGGAAGCCACACCGCTGGGTCCCCTCTCCTCAGCTCACCCCTGCTCTCCCAGGATTTCTGCAGAGCCCTCCTCCCCCATCAGCATGTTTCTCCCTCGTCCAGCCTCCCTCTCCTCCAGTGCCCTTTGGTCTTTTTTTTCTATGTGGAGAACAAGGACAGGCATCAGTGATGGCCTCCATGGAGCGTCCACTCCCGGGGCACTGGGCACATCCAGTCTTGGGGGATGCAGAAAGCCCGGCTTCCTGCACAGGTACAGTGCGTCAGGGCCACGATCTGGGTGGGGTCTGAATGAAAGCCCAGGTTTCACTTATTCCCAGTCCTCTTCCCCGCCACACCGCTACCTCCTCCCAGACGTCTCCGTGCTCCACAGAGAGTGGTTCCCGGTGCTGTATGCATACTGAGTGTCCCCAAAGGCGCTTTGGGAATTGGGGCCAAAGGCTGTGGCTCCTGGTGAGGGTGTCATTCCATAGCTCACCAGAGGGTGGCAGCATCACAGAAGGAATGAGGGCCCCTGCATCCCACCTGGGGCGGCCAGGTAAGTACAGAGCAGCGGGTCTAAGTGTGACTCAGGAAGGGCTGCAGGGAGTATTATGTGCAAGGGGCAGGTGGTGGGCTTGCAAGAGAGCAGTGGCTCCTCCTGGACATAGCGAGTCTTGCCTGGTCATGCTGATGGCCCCTAGATGGCTGCTCATGCCCTTCCTTCACCCCTACCAACCTATGCAAGCCTGGGGCTCCTGGGACTCATTACCCTTACTTTTCTCATGTATTTATTTTGGTGGTATTCCTGGAGTTTGGGATTCAGGGCCTCACACTTGCTGGGCATGTGCTCCATTGCTGAACCACGCCTCCACTCCTTTTTTGCACTGGTTATTTTTGAAATAGGGATTTGTTGTTGTTGTTTGGCTGTTAAGTTGCTTTTTGTGCCAGTCCTAGGGCTTGGACACTATCCCTTAGCTTTTCTGCTTAAGACTGGCACTCTACCACTTGAACCACAGCTCCATTTGGAGCTCTTTGCCGGCTCATTGGAGATAAGAGCCTTGATCTTTTTTTTTTTTTTCCTGCTCAGGCTGGTTTTGAACCATGATCCTCAGATCTCAGTCTCCTGAGTAGCATGAGCTGCTGGTGCTCAGCAAGAAGCCTGTTTGTAATCATCATGGGGTGATTATAAACACCCCAAGGACACTTTCTGTTGTTCAGGGTGTAGTCAGAGGCCAATGTGGACCACCTCCCCCAAATTTTGAACCTCCTGGCCTGTGGTCATGTTTGGGGCCTGCTTAGAATATCTGAGACCAGGCAGTTAGCTGATCTCTCTGTCTCCTTCTCTCCCCGCATGTCCGCATCAGCTCTCTGCCATGGGAAGGCACAGTGCCAAGGCAGCAGCCATCAGCAAGCCAGAAGAGGCCTGGTGGAGCTGGGTCAGGCCAGCACGCTGACCTCAGACTTACAATCCAAGAGGGCGTGGGCCCTGGAGACTCTGGGGTTGTGGAACTGGACCAGTTGGCTGGGGACCCTCAGAAGAAGCAGCCCAGCAGTCACAGCCTTTTCTTTGGCTTCGTGTGGCTCCAGGAGCCCCTCTCCTGGACACACACCCGCTTGGTTTTCCTGCTTCTAAAGTGGCCCGATTCTCTGCCCCCAGCCCTTTCTATTTTAATCCTGCAAATAACAGCACACACCACCAGGTTTGATTAATTAACACTGTGGGTGCCGTGGGAAGCCAGTGAAGGAGATAATTATGCAAAGCAGAAAGTGTCAGGTTTGCAGAGCTGGCTCCTCCCCTCCGCCAAGGCAGGAGGGGCTCCTTCTCTTTCCTGGAGGCTTGGGGAATGAGGATCACCTCCCACCCATAGTCCAGGAGAGGAAGGCTAGAGGCTGGGTGATGGGGCTCCATAGCAGTGGTGGCAGCGTGGCCTCGGGGGTACCCTGATGGGACGAGGCTCCTGTCATCCCCTGTGATCCCCCCACCCCCAATCTGGCCTCTATGGGGCAGGGAGAGACTTTGATGACCCTTTCCTGCCCTTTTTCTCCTGTGTCTGTTTCCTCTCCCTCTGCCCCCCTGACCTTGGCTTGCTTCATTCTAGAGTGATGAGCGCTTGTCTTCCAGGTGGAAGGAGGTAAGGCTGACACTGTTGTGGTCCGCTTCCTAGAAGGCTCCACTGGCAACAGGAGAAGGATTTCTAGAGGCCCCAAGTCCCCCACGCCCTCCCTGGGACAGGGAGCAGATCACGAGCCGTTTCTGGGTATGCGTGTGTTTTCTTGGTGCCTTCCTCTCTCTCCAGAGACCGGGGTGTGCCTGGGCCAGCTTTCCCACACCCGTGTCCTCTCTGCCCCCAGCGTGCTGGGCCTGGCTGTCCCTGGACCAGACAGGGGCCCGGGGGCAGGGCGTGGCTCACCTGCGGCCGGCTTCAGCATCCCGGTAGTCCTCGATGGCCAGGCGTAGCTTGCGCCGGTGCAGGGAGCTGCACACGCCCAGGCCCAGCTCCAGGTCCTCGTCACTCAGGCTCAGCAGCACCTGCGTCCAGGAGGGGACGGTGGGAGAGGGGGACCTGTCCTGGGCACTGGAACCCCACCCCCCAGCCCTGCCACTGCTGGCTGCTGTTCCCCTCCTGTCTCTGCCCACCCCACAGGGCAGCTCTGCCACGGGCATTGCCTTCTGTTGGGCGAGAGGAGGGGCTGCTGAGGTTTCAAAGGGCTCCAGAGGGCTCTAAGAGATGTAAACGCCAGTGGCTCAGGCCTGTAATCCTAGCTACTTAGGAGGCTGAGATCTGAGGATCGAGGTTCAAAGCCAGCCCGGGCAGGGAAGTCCATGAGACTCTTATCTCCAACGAACCACCAGAAAACCGGAAGTGGTTCTGTGGCTCAAAGTGGTAGAGCGCTCGCCTTGAGCAAGCCCAGGGAGAGCATGAGGCCCTGAGTTCAAGCCCCAGTACGGGCGTGCACGTGTGTGTGCACACACCCACCCACTGCAAACACTCCCAATGGCTGCAGGGCCTCCCTGGGGACAGGGATTTCACAGGACCTTTGGCCCCAGCACGGGAGGCTGGCTCCCAGCCCTGTCCCAAGGAGGAGCTGAGCCCACGGTGGAAAGCGGCAGCTCAGGGCGGAGGCCTCCCTCTCCCGCCTCCCCAGCTCCAGGCCTACCTTCCCGCTCTTCACGTTCTCGGCGCAGGCCTTGACATACATGGGCATGGCCATGACCACCTCTAGCCAGGCCTGCACGGCGCCGGCCTTCCAGTGCGACATGGGTGTGCTCCGGACCAGCTCCACGTGCTGCAGCCGATCCGCCTGCTCCTCGCCCTCCGACAGGCCCAGGCTGTGCCGCGTGGGGCTGCCCTGGCTGTCCGAGTCTGCAACACACAAGCGGGGGTGGGGTGGGGCAGGCAGCAGAGCGGCCCCGTGAACCGTGCACAGCACCCTTCCCAAGCCAGCTTTGCCTTCTTCCTCATCCCACCACCCCCTCCCCTGCCACCCCGAAGAACATCTCTGCCCCTCTCCAAGGAAAAGACTAAGAAAAATGATGAACTGATTTCAGGAAGGAGAAGTAAAGCAGAAAAGGAAAACTCCCCTACCCCAATGCCCCTGAACCCAGAACTGTGAGGATTTAGTTCAATCTTCCTGGGGACACACAAATGCCCAAGTGTGCAGATCCACTCGAGACCCACAGCCTAGCACGACCCATGCCATGTCACTGGAGGCCTTATTTATTTATTATTCTCCTCGGCCAGTCCTGGCGCTTTTACTCAGGGCCTGGACGCTGTTCCTAGCTTTTTCACTTAATGCTTGGTGATCTACCACTTCTAATATTTTCTTTTTCTTTTTTTTTTCTGGCTCATTGGAGATTAGAATCTCGTGGATTTTCCTGCCCAGTCTGGCTTTGAACCATGATCTTCAGATCTCAGCCTCCTTAGATAACTAGGATTATAGGCTTTAGTGCTGACTTGCTAAGGGCATCTTTCTATCTCAGTGGAGATCAGGGGTGGGTCTGACAGGAGGCCCAGGACTCATAGAGCACATGCTTGTGATTTATTCCACCTGCCTCCCGTTGGTGAGTACTGGGGCTGTTTCTAATTTTTCACCATTGCAAACAACTCTGCAGCCACCTCCCCTGGGCAAACGGGTGATTTTCTTTCTTGGGATAAATGGGCCCCAGCTCCATTCCCTTACCACACAGAAGCCTGTGTCTGAAGTGGCCAGAAAGCAAGAACGTTTCTCTAACATTTTCCAGTCCCTTTCTGCAATGTGTGGTCACATGGATATCTGGCAAAGGTGCCAGGTGACACAGACCAGAGGGTGGGGTGGGGGAGGGGACAGCAGATATCCCTAAACCCAAACCAGACTCAGTATTGCACGAAATGACAGGATGCCAGCAGATCATGCCTGAGATACTAGCTACTCAACAGGCTGAGGCTTGAGAATTTCAAACCGAAGCCAGACCAGACAGAGAAATCTGTGAGTCTTATCTCCAATTAACTACCAAAAAGCTGGAAGCAGCCGGACGCCAATTTCTCACACCTGTAATCTTAGCTACTCAGTAGGCAGTGATCTGAGGATCACCATTCAAAGCTAGCCTGGGAGAAAAGTCCCTGTGAGACTCTTATCTCAAATTAACCACTCAAAAACTGGAAATAGCACTGTGGCTCAAAGTGGTAGAGAGCTAGCCTTGAGTAAAAGAGCTCAGGGACAGTGCCCAGGTCCTGAGTTCAAGACCTGCAACTGTCAAAAAAAAGAAAAAGGCCGGAAGTAGAGGTGTGGCTCAAGTGCTAGAACACTGGCCTTGAGAGAAAAAGCTAAGGGACAGTCCTAGACCCTGACTTCAAGCCCTGGGACAGACAGACAGACACACACACACACACACACATACACAGAATGGACTAAAAGGTAAAACAAGGAGAGGGGGGTCAATGAGAGGCCAGGACAGCTGAGTGTGTGCACACACGTGTGCACCTGTAGTCCTAGGCATTGGCCTGAGACCTGGTTTCACAGGTCCTGGGACTCGGGGCATCCAGGAGCAGCAGAAGCCTTTCTGCCCTCGTGGCCCACACCAATCCTTGAGACCTATCTGGCTGGCGCACCAAACCTGCACTGACACGGTGTGTGTGTGCAGAGGTGAAATGCTTTTGGGGAAAACCATGCTAGAGGCTCGAGGTCCACATGGGGCAAGGAGGGGTGGGACACCTGGCAGGAATCCTGCCCTCGGCTGGGCAGCTGGGTGCAGTGGGAAACTCCTCAATGTTAGGGTTTCCGATCCCTCCTCTGTAAACGGGTTGATAATAAACCTGGCCCCATAGGACAGTGTCAGGACCAAAGCTACTGTGTGGGTGAAGCGACAGATAAACCAAGCGTTGGGCAGGTGCAGGCCAGCGTGGCTCCACCCCTGAGCCCAGCCTAAGTTCTGGGCTCCTCTTCTGCTCTTGTAAGGTGGCTGAGAATGTGTGTAAATATATGCTGGGCTCAAAGATGTGGTGTGTGTGTGTGTGTGTGTGTGTGTGTGTGCTTCAATTTAAACTTTTTGTGTGTGTGCTGATACTGGGGTTGAACCCAGGGCCTCACGTTCTTCCTTAGCTTTTTTTACTCAAGGCTAGTGCTCTACCACTGGAGCCATACCTCCAGTCTAGCTTTTTGCTGGTTAATTGGAGATAAGACTCTTGCAAGACTTTTCTGCTGGCGTTGGCTTTGAGTTGTGATCCTCTGGGTCGCAGCCTCCTGAGTTGCGAGGATCACAGGCATGAGCTACTTTGCCCCACTCTGACAGTTATTCCCCCCGCCCCAGCACTGGGAAGACATGGCTTCATTATCTCCATCTTTCTCTTTGCCCAGAGACATCAGCTGTGGCGCACTCCTGTCAACGCTTCCAATTATTCCCACACTCTTCAGTGTTCTGCAGATCCATTTCTGTGAGGCTACATCACTTCTGAATCTCTGCACTCCAGAGTTCATTGCCGGAATATTTCCAATCAGCATCTTGTAAAAACATCACCTCTCCTCCATTCTCTCAGTTCTCCTTTTCCAGGATTCTAATGAGACATATGCTAGTTTTTTAAACTCCATCTTTCCTGTTTTACAGCCCAGCAGAGCACTGTGCGAATGGACATGAGTGTAACCCACCCTGTAGCTGCCAGCCACACATACTATCGTGGAGTAACGTGCCAACTCAGGAAGGGAGTTTTTATTTCCTTTGAAACTAACTCAAACCCAGATTCAAACAGCAACCCCCTGGTGGCTTGTGGCCATTTCCATCTGAGACCGCTGGCTTGGAATTTCCCCTTCTTCCTGGATTTCTCCTTAGTTCTGATGGTATTATGTGCTCAGTAGGTAATTTCTTTAGAACCTACATTCCATTAAAAAAAAATCCTCTCTAGTGACTAGTGATTTAATCTGCTGGTTTGCTTGCTTGCTTGATTTATGTATGGCAGCTCTGGGATTTGAACTCAGGGCCCTGCACTTGTTAGGCAGGCCTGGTTTCACTGAGCTGTGTCTCTGTACCCCGCCTTGGCTGTGAGCTCCCCCATCCACCCATGTATCCCTTTTAACACGATCAATTCTATGTTCGATTTCTACTGAATTTTGATTTTCTTTAGGTGTGCCAATACTGGGGGGGAGAACTCGTGTGCTCAATTTTTGTTTTTGCTGTAGGCTGGTGCTCTGCCACTTGTGCCATGGCTTTCCCCCTCCTGTATTTTAGATCGTGGTGGTGCCCTTGGTAAGGGCCTCAGAACCTGCCACAAGCAGGCAGAGTGGAAAGCGACTGGCGTGGGTGCAGCTGGCCTTGGTGCTGTGGGCCTTGGGGCTGCCTGACTCCCTGCTGCAGGCCCCATCCTCTAAGCGGGAGTGCTGTCAAGAGTCAGAGTGAGACACACACACACACACACACACACACACACACACACACGACGTCAGGTGGCAAGACCAAAGACCTCACTGGGGACAGAGGGGGCGCCTGTGACATGGCCACCCACACCTAACTTGGGACTTTTTGTGTGTCTGCCTCCCTGGCCTAGGCACCTGCATGCGAATCTCACCCCAGGGCTAGGCAAGCCTCGCCCTCACTGGCCCCTACGGCCTCTGACTGGTTGGCAGACACAGAGGGCCTGGGATGATGGGTCGGCAGGCGTGGGGGGGTGTGGCAGCGGGGGAGTGGGCTTGGTACCCTTGACCCTGAGCCAGGTGGCTGAGTGGCATGATCCCCAGTGCCAGTGGCCACATGGGCCCAGAGACTCCCATTCCCCAGGCTCTAGCAGAAGCTTCCAGAAGCCTTTTGCCCCCTCCGCCTTCCTTCTTCCTTTGCCCTCACACGACTGTCCCTCCCTGCCTCGAGCTTGAACTTCACATCTGAATGAGGTCAGATAGGCCGGGAGCCTATCTGGGTCCATCCAGGACCCAGTCCGAGCCAGTCTCAAAGACACGGAGTGTCTGACCATCAGCAGGGCCACTGGGGTCTCCCACCCCGAGTCCCACTGTCTGTCCCTCACTGAAGGGTCGGCAGTGTCCTGGCCTCCGCTCACAGGTGACAGCCAGCAGGCCCCACGCTCCATCCTTCCTGTGGGCTGGGAGTCCCCGCGTGGCCCAGCCTCAGGGGGCCTGCCTGCGGCGGGCGGGCAGGGATGTGGTGGAGTCCCCCCCGAAAGCACATTGCCAGAGCAGTTCTCAGCTTTCAGCGCGGAACCATAACGTGGAAGAGATCGATGAGCCCTGATGGCTGCCGAGTAGGAACAGGGCTGCGGCAGCCTGGGTCCCTGCACACAAGCATGGCCTGTGCTGACCACCAGAGCTCCCGGAGGCAGGCAGTGAGGTAGCTGGCCAGGCTACCAGTCCGCAAGACCCTTGGGGGGTCAGGCTGGAATTTACTGGTACCCCCTACATCCTGGCCTGTTCCCTGAGACCCTCCAAGCCCCCCCAAGGAAGTGCAGATGTCCTGAGCCCTGCCTTCATGCTGTCCTTTCTGTACTAGCTGAAGCTGGAGCTGACCATGTTGGTTTCTGACCTCAGTCTGTCAGGCCCCCATCCCCTCCATGCTCTTGAGTTTCCTGGGGTGACAACTTTATAGGCTAATGGGAAGACCCTAAGAAGAGACGAAGGGGGTGGGGAAAAGCTGCAGTTACCAGACAATTACTGCTTTTCAGAAAGCATACACAAGCTGGGGACATGGCTCAGGTAGGAGGGCGCCTTTCTAGCTCAAGGTCCCTGGTGGGACTAGCCTGAACTGCATAAGAAGACTCTTTTTCCACTCCAAATGTATTAGTGAACCCTCCTTTATCTTCCTGGCATTCCCATATCAGCATTCCCACTTGGGAAGTCCTTCTTGTAGTCTAATTTGCAACGGAAACCCATCTTTACCTACTAGTGGGTC